TCTCCAGGGCCTGTGCATGCCCAGCCAGCCCCCATCACTGAACTCTCTAGTCTCTCCAGGGCCTGTGCATGCCCAGCCAGGCCCCATCACTGAACTCTCTAGTCTTTCCAGGACCTGTGCATGCCCAGCCAGCCCCCATCACTGAATTCTCTCTAATCTCTTTCTGAATGTTTTGTTTTGAGATAGGGTTTCAAAAAGTGGCCCAGGTTTTGAATTCCCAGGCAGGCCTTGAACTCGCTATCTACTAGCCTCAGCCTCCTCCAGAACTCGTGCCGTAGGCCCATCCTACAAGGTCTAGCTTGGTTTTGTGGAAACAAGTTTGTAAAATGTACCTATATAATACTGTATTTTACCTTGATACAGTAAAATTTGTTTTTATTGAACAAATCCAGCTTTACTAGGGCTAATCTCATTAAACATAAGTATTTGAAACATTCTTAGTGTTTAAGGCTTTTCTTACATTTTAAAGACTTTAAAAAAAAATTCTGCATGTGTGTCTGTGCACCATGTTCAGGCAGTGCCCAGGGAGGCCAGAAGAGGGCGCCAGATCCCCTAGAACTGGAGTTACAGACGGTTGCTTGCTGCCATGGGCATGCTGGGAACTGAACTGAGGTCGCCTGTAAGGGTCCGGAGCAATCCTAACTGCTCAGCTATCACTCCAGGCCTCAGTTTCCCATTTTATGTTAATTTTCAGAATAATTGTGGGGTTTAAATGTATTTTTATTGGCATACAGTAGTTTATTTACTCAAAATTATTGTGTAGTGATGGTTATTGATATGTAAAACTTTCAAAATTAATTTTTACAGAGTTCTATAAACCCGGAGAATGATATTTTAAAAGACTGAAGGAAGGACTTTGTAGAAACAGCTCTAGAAATGTCTAGAATCTTGGTGGTGTACCAAACCAAATGTCGACTGTCGCTCTGCCCAGCCCTGAGGTGGTAACTGTACTGCAGAACCTGCTGCTGAGAGCACATCCCCTTATACCCCCCCCAGTGACATTCTCCAAAAACCACCTCCCCAGTCACCTTTCCACTGCTTTATCTCTTGGTTTTCACATTCACCATCAAGGTGGAATGTTTTTATAAATTACAATGCAAAGAAATTGCTTTCAAAAAACCATTTGCGGTTGCTGATTACCTACAAAATGGTTGCTGCGAATTTTTCTGAACGAGTAAAAAGGCTGTGAGAGGTCGAGCCTTGTCAGGTGATTGTATGTACGGCAATTAATTTCTCCATTGCTAGTGGAAATGGTGCTGCAGTCACAAATGTCTTTGCTTGTTAGTAGAAAAATAAGTTCTCCCTAATGAGAGATTCTGTTTCCCTTGATGGACGTGAGCTGTGGGACACGGACATTGAACACTTCGTATTGCGTTTGCCCTCCCACATGCCTACAGATGTTGTTGCTGCTGCATTTTTATTACCTAAAATGTGAGGAAAATTTGGCCACCCTTCCTTGTGTGTGTGTGTGTTCATCTGTGTGTCATGTCAGGTGCATCTAACCGTGTGCGCATATGTTTGGAGGCTAGAGATTGACCGTGTCTGCCTCAGCTGTGTCCCACCCTCTTTTTGAGACAGGGCGTCTCCATTAACTTGGAGCTCACCCACTCAGCTGGACTGGAGGGTCCTCCCTGTCCTCTGACGCCCCAGCATGGCGAGTGTGCACTGGAGACCCTCATGCCTACGTGACGGAGACCTGAGTTCGGTCACCGAAACATCGCCATAGCCCTGTGACTGGTCCTTCTTCTAATCACAGTTATACTTTTTAAATTACTAATTAAACTTTTTCCCCTGAAAAAAATTGAGCCAGAAAGTAGATTCCGGTAGGTCCTGAGCAGTGTTGGAGGCAGAAAGGAGTTAAGTAACAGCCTGTAAGGTTTTAACAGTTGCTTATCGTCCCAACTTCTGACACACTGAATGCAGGATTAGTGACAAATAATAATTTTATGAGTTAATGTGAAGGTCAGACATCAGACATCCTCTGACATGGAGCAAGAGAAACCTTGAAAATTACCTTCAGGAATAACTTAGGAGCCCCCTTACAAAAATATGGATTATATTAAAATTAAGGGAAATCAGTCATTCCGTATCAATCAGCTGCCTCGCAGTGTGTCAAGAGGCTTCTTGGCCTTCACAGGGAAATGTAGCAACAACCAAACCATAGATGAGCACAGGAGAGAGAGAGAGAGAGAGAGAGAGAGAGAGAGAGAGAGAGAAGGCCCCAACATCTCACCTTCTCATTCCGAGACCTCCCATTGACCGGTTTCTGAAGGAAGCGGCACTCCGCCGACACTGTGCAGACATCATGGCCCACAGAACCAGGTTCAGAATAAGAGAGGAGTGCCTTCGGGTGCTCCAAAGGAAACTGCTTGGCTCGCACTGCAGTAACAACAGTATCATTAGCTCCTGGGACTGAATGTTCTGGGCCCTGAGCTCAGCACCTCCTCCCCATTTAATCCGCACAACAGCGCTGTGAGGAGTCATTACCTCATCTTCTAGAAAATCCTGGACCTCACGGCACCGCGGTCAAGTCAGAGGGGCAGGTGCTGCTGTGATCCTCGCTTAGCAGATGGGGAATCAAGACTCAGGAAGTCCGTCCCAGAGGCCGGGTTGTGTGCGTTCCCTCCCACACCACCACATCTGCACAAAAGGGCTGGGGGCGGGCGTTGTATCTTGAAAAAGAGAATCTATGCTCTGGGGTAAAAAGAAGCCAACTTTAAAAGACCATGCCAGGAAGATTTGGCAAAATTGGAGAATTAAGGAAAAATAAATGGTTGTGGAGTCAGGTGGAGGCGAGGATGAATAGGCAGGGCGCGGAGGATCTTCGGGGCGCAGAAACTACCTGGGTGATTCTTCAGTTGTGGAGTGTGTCACACGTTTCTCCAAATCCGTCGAATGGACGCTGATGTAATCCATGGGCTTTGGTGACCTTGATGTGTTAATGGGGGTTCATCATACGGAACAAATGTGCCACTTTGTTGGAGAATAGTGATAGCAGGGATGCTCTGCATGCCTCTGGGAGACTCTGGGGCATGATTGTACCTTCCTCTCGGTGTAGTGTGGGCTTCTAAAAGGGTACTGAAATGTATAATTTATTTTTAAAAATGCTTTTAAATGAAAAGGAGAGACAACTGAGGCAGCGCGTTTTAAATGCATTCACGGGTGACCCGGGCTTTGTTTCTTTTTGGTAAGAAGAGTGGGTGATTGGTGACATCAAATTTTGCATTCAGTTTTCTTTTGGAGTTTTCCTAGCTCCCAAAGGAAGTACTTCCTGCACATTCATTCTTTTTATTTTGACAAAAAGGCACGTTAGAGGAGAAAGCCATTATCATCGAGTGATGCTGCAGTCTCCCCTCACTGTCTCTGTGGGAACGTAATCCATTAAGGAGGCATTCAGCACCTCTCTCCGCCAACCTCCTAATGGCTTTAAACACCTCCCTTTGTTTTTACAGTACGCTCTTCATTATCTGAGGCAGGTAATTGATTGTTTCTAAATTAGCTAATTCAGGATAGGAACATAACTTCATAGGTTATTATATAAATAGACAAAAAGTTTTCAATGTCCCTGACAAAAGCGTGTGAGAAGTCAGTCTTGTGTCACTAGTCAGGCTCTTGCTTTGTAGCTCTGAATGGCCTCCTGCTTCAACCTTTTGAGTATGAGGTTACAGATGGGATCCTGTAATTAACTGGAAGCATTTCCCAAGTTCTCATTCAATTCTTCTTGACAGAAGGAATGGAAAAGGTGTGTGTGTGTGTGTGTGTGTGTGTGTGTGTGTGTGTGTGTGTGTGTACACACACATATATATACACATACAGATAGATCATAGATGGATGGATGGATAGATAGATAGATAGATAGATAGATAGATAGATAGATAGATAGATAGGGAACCTGTGTGGCTCACGCAAATCTTCTCCTCTTCTCTGTTTACTGCCAATCTGTGCCCTGAGCAGTTTGCCAGGACCGGCAGGTGTGAGCAGGCAACATGCAGGTAAGCAGTCTCGTGGCAAATGAACACTTCAGTGTGGTTCTGCCTGTGAATCTTTGAAGATTTGGATCCCGAGTGGCTCCTTTGCTAGCTCTCCTATTTCAGGATAATTTCTTATGAGTCAGCTCATTTCCGGCTGCTCTGACCACTATGAGCACAGAGCCTCATGGGAGAGAAGATCGCTGCTGCCTAAGTTTCTTTCAAGACAGGAAACATTTTTTTTTTCTCAGTGATTTACGTCAGCTTGTTCCTACAGACCTTAGGATCCGAGCCCAGGTCCCGGCAGCCCTAACAAGTTAGCCTTGAGCACTCATCCTCAGCAGGCCAATTAAAGGGACCACGTAACAGTGAAAATCAGAGAGAGGGACCAATTCAGTGGGGCACACTTTAGGAAGAGGACCAAGCAGGTCCAGTCCTCCCCACAAGTCTACCTTTGGGGTTTGGACATGAGGCTTCTGCTCTCTTTAATTAGAGAGCAGAGGTGGGATAACTAAAGGTTCAGGTAAGGTGTGCTCCTGCCCACCATCTTCGGATGAGCTCCTCTCTCACACAGTGCTCTGACAATGTCAGACCTGTGTGAGACCTCTTTCTGCGAGACAAGCTTACTCTCTGGTTGGCATCAGGATCCTAGTCTGTTCCTTCCCTAAGACTGAGGCTCCTAGGGAACTTCAGTTTCTTGGGGTCCATTGTTTCAGCAATCTGCTATCAAAAGGGAGGGAGGTGCAAGGGTCTTGAGACGCTCTGCTCTTGTCAAGATGGTTCCCAGCCTTGTGTGAGCTCAGTTACGTGTTTACTGCCTTCTTCTTAGCTTCTCAGTCAGGATGCAGATTTTCGCTCACAGTGTATCTGATGTATAGAATTCACTGGCCTGCAGGGCATGTCTGGGGAACACGTACTTATTTATGAATATGGCTGTGGCCGCCAAACAAAGGACTCCCTGTTCCTCCCAGACAGACACTGAGGCCAGACCTCCAACAGCTGAGGCAGCGCTGCCCTGACGCTGTCACTGGGGAGGCTGGAGGCTGGAGGCGCTCAGTCTTTATCGCTTGTAGTCGTCAGAGTTCCGTTACCGCTGCAGAACGCCTACTGCCTATGATGTTGGAGGACAGGAATCTTCGCCTTATAGCCAGAAGAAAGGAGGAAAGGAAGAACCCAGGTCCTGATACCCCCTTCCAGGGCATGCCATCCAAAAGACTAGGGCCTCCCCCATGAGGCCCCACCTTCTAAAGTGTCCAGCAACTCCCAGGGCACCACAAACTGGAGACCAAGCCTCAAATGCACAGATCGTTGGGGAACACTTTCCCCGGCTCTAACGCTGTTGTCAAGACTTCAAATATATTTTCAGTAAGACGTGTCTGAAGTTCAGATTATCTGCTTCTGCCTTCAGCGCTCTTTATCGGGGGCCACTGAAGTGTGGCGGCTGTTAGGTAGCTCCCAGGATAAGTGTGCTACAGGACTAGATCTGGACTAAAACCGAGCCTCAACACTTCTGCCAAGCAAGTAGTTCAGGGCAGGTGACAGCTTAGAGATAGCATGCACCGCGTGCGTGCGTACGTGCGTGCGTGCGTGCGTGCGTGCGTGCGCGCGCACGGAGGCCACAGATCACTATAGGGTATCTTCCTGAGTGGCTCTCCATTATACTTTTTGAGACAGGGTCTCTCAGTAAACCCGGAGCTCGCTGAGTTAGCTGGGCTGGTAGCTGCAACCCCCAGAGATCTCTCAGTCTCTGCCTCTCCAGCACTAGGGTTTACAGGCAACTGTTTCCGGGCCGAGGGATCCAGCTCAGGTCCCCATTACTGCACAGCAAGCCCTGAATCCACCGAGCCATCTCCCTGGCCTCCTTGGGTCCAGGGGTCTCCAGCTGAGAATGTGATGATGATGCTCTGGCCGGGCCCTGTACCCTTGCCGCAGAAGAGCAGCCCTGGCACAGTCTCAGGACAGCGACTCATGAGCAGATTTTGATCAATGTTCTGTTCACTGACTCATGAGGTTGGGGTGGGCAGGACCGGGTGAAATGGAGGCTGTGTGCTGAGCGGAGAAGGCAGAGTATGGACTGCCCCTTGGAACCAGCATCTGCCCTCATGCTCCTGAGCTCTGTTCTCCCATCTGGCCGTGCGGGCGTCCCTAAGAACACGGTGCGATGACCTCAGGTCATCAAGTCTTCTCCCGACTTAGCGAAAGTCACCTTCAGTCAACTCATCATCCAACCCCCAAGCTGAGGAACTGCCCTAGCTTGGGTCCTGTCCCTTAAATGTGTGTTCTCTGTCACCAGACCCCACTCATTCCATCCCCCGGTGTCCCCAGGGACACTGCCCTGACCCAAGCACCTGCTACCTCAGAACGCAGTCCAGGGAACCAGTCTTCCACCATGGGTCACACACCTGCCACGCTGTTAGCACTTAGCAGGATGAGGAAGAACACTGTGTAGTCCACGGTGAGTTTGAGGCCAGCCTGGGTTATACACAGTGAGATGAAATCTGATCCTGTGTCTGCTCTGTGGGAAACCCCTCCATGTCTTCACGCTGCCTCTGGAGGACGGTCAAACTGTGTCTTCGCCTCTATCCCCCCTCACCCTCTCTGCCCCAGCCACGCTGTACCGAGTTTGGATACTTAGGTGTTTACTTACTCGCCTCATATTTGCATCGGTTTTGTGCCTCTGACCCGGAATTTCCCCATCTTCCCTCTGGCTCACTATACCTCATCCGCAAGGCTCTGCTTACAGATGGACCCTGTCCCTCCGATGTTCATCATGCTGGCACCATCACTTTGTACGTATTTGTCCTTGATGGGACCTGAAGCAGCTGGACATCTAAACTCAGCACTAGGGAGACTAAGTGAACCCAGCAGGCCTTCTTGGGGGGTGTGAAGTTTTGTGTGTGTGTCCGTCGCCCCAGCTCGTGGGAGTACCTTTCTGCTGTGGGCTAGTGACAAAACTCACTCAGACAACCTAATGTTTCGGCAAGAGATTAACACCGGGAAAGAAAGATGGCTATACACCCATACCCCAAAAAGTTTCTGGGTGTTAGAATGTTACGTTTTAAAGAACTTTCAGAGACAAGGGCCTTCTATTTAGTGAAATTCCTAGAAAATTTTGTGCACCTCTTTCAGACTTCTGGCTGCTCTCTTTTCCCTCCAAGAGCCCAGGGCTTGGGCAACAAAGCTGCCCAGCCTCTCCTGATGCCTTTGCATTCAATTATTGTTTCTTTTATTCTGTGACTTCCGTAAAGTAAGAAAAACTATAGAAACCTCCTCCCTCCTCAGGATGTCTGAGGGGTTTCATTAGAGACTATAAGGAGCAGAAGATGGGGTGGGACCTCACAAAACGCTCTCCCGTCAGGACTTCTGGTTTTCCCTCAGACAGTGTTGGAGGAAGAGCAGACAGAGAGGGGAAGGTCTTGAGTGATGATTCTCCATACTCTGGCGCCTCCTCTGTTCAGGGAATTTCCTGGAATCTAATCAGAGATGGCCAGGAAGCATGAGACTTGTCTTCTTGGTTGGAACTGTGATGAAATAGGAGCTAAAGGTTTGTCAAAGGAGCCTGTGACTTTTTTTAAAAAAACTGTATACTTTATTATTTTTGTTTGTTTGCTTTTTTGAGACAGGGTTTCTCTGTGTGGCCTTGGCTGTTCTGGATCTCACTCTGTAGACCAGGCTGGCCTTGAATTCACAGAGATCCACCCACCTCTGCCTCCTGAGCTCTGGGATTAAAGGAGATTGCTACCACTGCCCGGCAGGAGCTTATGTCTTAACTACAAGAGGGGCGGACACAGAAGTTGGCAAGAAGAGGCAGGGAGAAGCCTTGGGGCTTTGGTGCCAAGGAGGATATCCTACCTCTTGTTAAGATTTTCTTGTCATTTCCAGTCTTTTTACAGAGTAGCCCCTGCCTGGACTCCACAGTCAGTGAGTCCAGACGATTTGTGCACAGTCAGATGGTCA